AACAAAGTTTGCCACATTTATTAACTCTTTTTTTTTCAAGAAGGTTTCTCTGTAGCATGTGATGCTGTTTGATAGCATATAACCCACAGTCAAGCTTTCAAAATTGGAGTCAATCCTCTCAAAGAACCCTGCCACTGCTTTATCAACTAAGTTTACTCAATATTCTAAATCCTTTGTTGTCATTTCAACAATATTCATAACATCTTTACCAGGAGTGGATTCCATCTCAAGAAACTGCTTTCTTTGCTCATTTATAAGAAGCAAGTCCTCATGGGTTCAAGTTTTATCATGAGATTGCGGCATTTCAGTCACATCTTCAAGGATTCACTGCTAATTCTAATCTCTTACTATTTCTACCCCATCTTCAGTGACTTCCTCCACTGATGTCTTGAACCCCTCTATGTCATCAAGAGGGCTAAATCAACCTCCTCCAAACTCCTGTTTATGTTGATATTTTGACCTTCTATGAATCACAAATGTTCTTAATGATATAAAGAGTAGTGAGTCCTTTCCAGAGGGTTTTCAATTTACTTTGCCTAGACCCATCAGAGGAATCACTATCTATGGCAGCTACAACCTTATGAAATTTACTTCTTAAATAATAAGACGTGAAAGTCGAAATGACTCCTTGATCCATGGGCTGCAGAATGGACGTTGTGTTAGCAGGCATGAAAACATTAATCTCCCTATACATCTCCATCAGAATTCTTGGGTGACCAGATACATTGTCAACAACTGATAATATTTTGAAAGGAATTTTTTTTTTCTGAGCAGTAGGTCTCAACAATGGGCTTAAAATATTCAGTAAACAGTGTTGTAAACAGATGTGCTATCATCGGAGCTTTGTTGTTCCATTTACAGAACACAGGCAGAGGAGATTTAGCATAATTCTTAAGGGCCCTAGGATTTTCAGAATGGTAAATGAGCATTGGCTTCAACTTAAAGTCACCGGCACCATTAGCCCCTAACTAGAAAGTCAGCCTGTCCTCTGAAGCTTTAAAGCCAGGTGTTGACTTCTCTCTAGCTAGGAAAGTCCTAGATAGCATCTTCTTCCAATAGAAAGCTGTTTTGTCTGCATTGAAAATCCGAGGTTTACTGTAGTCACCTTCATCAATTATTTTAGCTGGATCTTCTGGATAATCTGCTGTAGCTTCTACATCAGCACTTGCTGCTTCACCTTGCACTTTTATGTTATGGAGACAGCTTCTGTCCTTAAACCTCATGATTCAACCTCTGCTAGCTTCACACTTTTCTTCTGCAGCTTCCTCACATCTCTGTCTTTATATAATTGGTAGGGCCTTGCTCTGGATTAGATTTTGGCTTAAGAGAATGTTGTAGCTGGTTTGATCTTCTATCCAGACCACTCAAACTCTCTCCATATCAGCAATAAGGCTTTTTTACTTTCTTATCATTTGTGTGTTCACTGGAGCAGCACTTTTAATTCATTCAAGAACTTTTCCTTTGCATTCACAAATTCGCTGTGTGGCACAAGAGGCCTACCTTTCAATCTATCTTGGTTTTCAACATGCCTTCCTCACTAAGCTTAATCACTTCTAGCTTTTGTTTTAAGTGAGAGATGTGTGACTCTTTTTTTCACTTGAACACCTAGAGTCCACTGTAAGGTTATTAATTAGCCCAATTTCAATATTGTCTCATGTAACAGGGAGGCCCACGGAGAGGGAGAGAGATAGGGGAACAGTTTGTTGGTGGAGCAGTCAGAACATACACACTGATCAATTAAGTTTGATGTCTTATATGGGAGTGGTTCATGGGTGCCCCCCCCAAATTACGATAGTAACATCAAAGAGCACTGATCACAGATCACCATAACAGATATAATAAAAAATTTTGAAATACTGTAAGAATTACTAAAATGTGATAGAGACATACTATTAGAAAAATGGTGCCAACAGACTTGCTCAATACAGGGTTGTCACAAACCTTCAATTTGTAGAATATGCAGTATCTGCAAAGTGCAATGAAAGAAAGCACAGACAAACGAGGTATGGCTGTATATATCGTCAGCTGAATTTTGACAGACGTGCCAAAGTAATTCAATGGGGGAAAAAGTAGTCTTTTCAATAAATGGTGCTAAAATAACATCCATATGGGAGAGGGAAATGAACCTCTTTATTTCACAGCAAACCCTAAAATTAACTTGACATGTGTCATAGACCTAAACATACAACCTAAAACTATCAATCTTTGAATTCAGGACTCAGAAGGGGCAGCTGCCTGTTTTTATAAATAAAAGGCTTCTGTGGAACACAGCCATGTTTATGTGGGTTTTTTATTTTTATTTATTTATATTTTTTTTGAGGCAGGGTCTTGCTTTGTTGCCCAGGCTGGAGTGCAGTGGCATGGTCATAGCTTACTGCAACCTCCAATTCCTGGGCTCACGTGATCCTCCTGTGTTAGCCTCCCAAGTAGCTGGGACATGCACCACCAAGCCCGGCTAATAGTTTTTTAAATTTTTTGAGGAGAGAGGATCTCACTATGTTGCCCAGGCTGTTCTCAAATTCCCAGCCACAAGCCATCCTCCTACCTCTACCTCCCAAAGTGCTGGGATTACAGGCCAGGTGCCCAGCCTATATATTTATTATCTATAACTGATTCTGAGTTACAACAGCAGAGTAGTTGAGGCAGTGTAGCTTGGAAGTCTAAAATATTTACTATCTCATCCTTTGACAAAAAGTTTGAAGATCCTTTTGTAAGAGAAAATATGGGAGAAAATCTAGGTAATGATTTCTCACACACAAAAAGCAAAAACCACAAAGGAAAATATTGGTGAACCAGACTTCAAAATGTAAAATTTCTGCTCTTTGAATGATAGTGATGAAAAATGAAATGCAAGCCACAAAATGGGAAAAAATATCTCACAAAGAATTTATATCCAAATTATATCAAGAATTCTTACAAATCAATAATAAGCAACTCAATAAAATAATGAGTAAAGAAGTGAACATACACGCCACAAAAGATATACAATTGGACAATAAGCACAGGAAATAGTGCTCAACATCATTAGTATCAAGGAAATGCAAATTTAAACTATGATGAGATAACCACTAAATAACCACAAGAAATTTTAATTTTAGCGAGACTGAAATACTAAATGCTGGTGAAGATATACAGCAAGTGTAATTATAATACAACACTTCTATACAAGGTACATAATCACTTTGTAAATAGCCTAGCAGGTTCTTATACAGGTAAACATATATTTAATATACAATCCAGCAATTCGTATGTGCCCAAAAGAAATGTGGCTTATTTAATTATTAGAGTAATAATAAAGACAAAGAATAAAGTACAAACCCTACACAAAAATCCTTATCATACGAAAATGTGCTCCCAACCTTCCTTTTAAACTCCCTCATTTCTTTACACACAAATGTGCCTTTATGTATTGTGGCTCTTCACCATGCTGGAAGTCAGTGGGAAATTAAAAACAAATAAAATAGCCTACAAAGCTTCAAAGCAGAAACACAAAAGCTGGATCAGTAACATCTTTGGAACAGATTGAGCATCTCAAATCCAAAAATCCAAAATGTTCCAAAATCTAAAACTTTTTGAGCACCAACATGATACTCAAAGGAAATGCATTGTTGGAGCATTTCAGATTTTGGATTTTCAGATATGAAATGCTCAACCAATAATAATAATAATAATAAAAGATGGTGAGATTTGAGTAAGCACTTGAAATAGATGAGAAAGTTAGCTAAGTAGATATCTGGGGAAAGGGCAGCCTAGGAAAACCAGCAGGTCTGCCCAAAAGGGCCTTTCTACATTCTGTGCTTATTAAAACCATTCTCTTACCTTCAAGCTCACACAAAACACTACTTCTTCCAAGAAGCATTTTCATTTTCTCCACTGAAAATAAATCATCCCTCTACTTTCCCATAGGACATTCAACATACTTTTCTTAGGGAACCCATGATATTATGTTTGGGGCCCTATTTATTCAATATTATCTATTGCCACCAAATAAATGGAAAGGTTCTATAGGACTCTGTCTAGCAGAGTGGGATCAGGCTAAATTTTCTGAGTGAATGCTGAATGAATCACCAGCGACACAAGAATGAAAATTCTTCCAAGGTGCCTTCCAGACATGAGCTTTGTTCAAGATAGTACTAACCCCCTAGGACCAAAAGCAGTGGCTGTAAAAGCCCACGTTCCTGGTGGGCTTTTACAGTGAGGAAACTGAAGGTGCTGGAGGTGGATTTTCTATTTTAGGGAAGTGGGGGGAGATGTAATGACAAGCCACCATACGTTCCCTGAATAGTGCTTTCTTCATCTCAGCCAGTTATATTTCCTGCCAATTTGGGGACTGAAACATTTTCTACCCAGACCTACCTTGCTTTCTTCAAGTTCACTGTTAAACTCTTCTGAGAATCATGAGACATGTACTGTAAAGCTAATGAAGCTTAAGCATTAGGGCTCCTGACTTGCATGCAGTTAACTACAATACAGAAGCATTTCTACATAGGCATTTCTGGCAAATTGTCTAAAGAAATAAGTGAAGAAAGAGACTTAAATCTCCAAGACCCCCATAATTTGTTGTGATTTCTATACTCATTTTAAATATTAACTTTCATATCTAATTTTGATTTTTTTTTTCTTCAAAAGGGAACAACTTCTTTTAAACTGAAGGAGGAAGCGAGGCTAATTCTCAAAGAAGAGGAAAGAAAAAGGTAAACGTAGAACAAAAGCTCCTTGGCTATTTTGGCTCCACTGCGGTCCTAACACCCTTCCCCCAAAAGATCCACCTTTAGAAAACATAGGATGTCAAAGATCCAAAAAACACAATGCAGAACTCCACCCTTGGTCTCTTAAGAGGGGTAGTGGTGAAAAAGTGAGATAAACATGTCAGAGAGGCTCAAAGACAAGGAGAGTCCTTGGCTACTCGGTTTCAGCCAAAGCAAGGCCCTCCCCCGGAACTCAAGGTTTCTATCACAGACAGGGTCCAGGACATAGGACACTTAGGGAAACAAACTCACAGGAATACGCTCTCCTGGCAGCAGCTGCCATCTCCCGGCTTGTCACTCAGTATTTTGCAAAACACACATTTACCCTATGGCTACGGCTGGGAAAAGGTGAATGTGGTGGAGGGAAAGAGGGATTTAAGGAACAGTAATAAAGGGAGAATAGAGAGAGGGTGGGAGTGGAGTGAGACCGGGTGACAGAGACGCACCAGAGGTGGCACATAGAGAAAAAGGGCAGGAGGCTGTTTTTGCACCTTTAGGTCTCCCTCCCCCAAAGTAACAAACAGCCAGGGCCTAGGTGAGGTGAAGAGTGATAAGAAAAAGTAAATAAGGAACACGGGATGTCTACTGTTTTACTCAGCCTTTGCATTTGTCAGACTGAAAACTCAGAAAACCTCACCAAACTTCCCAAAAAGATCCCCAGTGAGTTGGACGTGAAGACCCAGAGAACGAAACCAATGGGGGAGGGTAAAGGAGCCCCTCAATTCTGCAGTGAGGCGATCGGCGCCAGTGACTAAACAAGGGACAGGGGCTGAGGGACGCTAGGGGGGATCTGGAAGGGAAGGAACGTCTACCGGACGGGCCTCTCCCCGGCAGCCCCCGCAGCGTCCAAGTCCGAGCGTTTCCCGGGGTCCGCTGGGTCCTCACAGCGCCCGCGCGCGTCCCCACCGCTCGTCCCCTCCCGCCTCCCAGGCGCGCCCCTCGCCCCGGTCCGACACTCTCCGAGGACCAGGGGTCCCGAGGGCCCTGGCCCGCGGGCGCCGGTCCCCAGCGTAGCCTGCAGCCGCCTACGCTCGGGGACGCCCGGACCCTGGACGGCAACTTGCGGGCGCCCGCCGGCGGGCGACCCCAGCCGCGCCGCAGCCGCTGGGACTGGAGCCAGCGCCGCCGCCCCACACTCACCGCGGCGCTCCATCCCGCGTTCCGGACGCCGACGCCCACCCAACGCTCACGGCTGCCGCCGCCGACGGTTGGAGCTCGCCGCCCCCATCCCCCACGGCTCGCGGACAACCCGCCAAGCCGCCGTCGCCGCAACTACCGCCACGACCGCGCCGGCCACAACCGCGCCGGCCTCGGCCGCCCCGCCTCCCGCCTCGTGCCGCCCGCCCACAGAGCCCAGCCCATTGGCGCGCGCTCGCGGGGGCGGGGCCCGGCGCCCTGCAGCAGGTGGGGGCGACTGCTCGCTCCGGCGCGGGTTGTCAGCTGCGCCCCAGCCTGACACTGTCCCCAAAGTCGCGGGACATGTCAGCCGCCTCTGCTTGGAGCAGGGCAGGCGCAGCGACTTAAAGAAAAGTCACCTTTTGCACCTTGCAACAGGGAGCAGGTCCTCCGTCTTTGTTGTGTAATTGGACATTTTTCTTGTGGACACTACGAATTCCTTCCAATCAGGACTCTGGTCTTCAACTTGTTTTTTCCGCCTTCTTCCTCCACCCTCCTTCCTTTCAAAACAAAAATACATTTTGTGCTTAACTTTACAACTGTCCCACCCTCTTCTGTTTTCAACTGATTGTAACTTTCAGCAAACTCAAAACATCAGCTATTATAGCACAGTACCTGGCACATGACTGATGCTCAGTAAATGCTATTAATAGTTGACTGTGCTCCCTAACCATGCTACTTGCTTCTTACCATTAAATGTTCCTTGAGTAATGGGACTCATCAATACAGTGGGAGAAAGGAACAACCAAAATTTCAGCACTTATCTAGATGTTGGATCACACATCATGTATGGGGAGGAAAGCACAGCGTTTGTATTGAGTAGTGAGAGTATGTATTAGTAACACCCAACAACATACCAAGAATATCCTTCCTGTCTTCTGTGCTGACACATAACAGGCACTCCATGAATATTAGCTGATAAATGGGTAAAATTATGGTAACAGAATTTGGAAAAGAATCTTAATTTCACTCTCCATTTAAATCTTTTTCAAAGATTTGCCATATTCTTCACTCTTCTTCATTAGTCAGGAGGAATACGATATTTGAAAACATTCTCAAAGGAAAATAGTAGTTCATTTTTACAATAAATAAATATTATTTTTTACCTGAGAAAGAACAGACATTAAAAATCTGCTATCTGGGTCAGGTGGCTGTGTTTGGCAATAACACTAATAAATAAAGGACAATACTTCCACCAAATCCTAGAATGATGTGCCAGCACATGCCCAGAATCCTCCTTGTAAGATAACTTTTTTTTTTTTTTTTTTTTTTTACCAATAAATGATTCTCAGTTACAGTGGCTCATGATCATGGCTTTGGAGGACAAAGAATACCAGACAAACATATAGGAAATCAGAGACATACTGAATTAATAAGGAAACATATATAATGATGTAGTATTGCTGTTTTATAATTATAGTATATATTAACATATATCTACTCTGTCTATTGAAATGTTTTTCATTCCTTCCATGACAGAGGATATTACTTCTGCTCCGAAACCTTCCTGTTCTCCCCACTGAAAATCAATCATCCTATTCGAAATTATATGGTACATAGGATACTATTCTTGTGGCACTTGTGGTTTGGGTGCCACATTTATTTGATAGTGTTTATTTATACTAATTAGATTTAAAGTCCTATAGTACTACATTATCCAGGTCTGTGTCAGATACACAATGGGCCCTCACTGAGTATTTTCTGGAGGAATAATGAGGGAATGATCAGTGGGTCATCAAAATTATTCTAGGGTGATTTTTTTTTTATCATAAGCTGGTCTCCACTTGATTGTATCTAGTGGAAGAAAATGCAATGGGCACAAAAAAAATATGCCTAAAACAAAGCTTGTGGCAGATGTCCCATGCCAGAGGTGAAGGGGTTAATCAGAAGGTGCATGTTCCATGTGGGTAGTGGAGGTGGGAACTTAGCCCCACAGGAGAGCACCATGGATAGGTGCTCTTTACCTAAGCCACGCTCCAATGGCAGTTTGTCTAGGACAATCCAACATTGTCCACCAGGCATATCCTATTTTTATTCATTCCACAAATATTTGTTGAGTATCTCCAATGTGCCAGGCATTGTTCCAAGCACCCTTTAAATCCACTCTCAGATTCTCCTCAACCATGATTAATTCCTGTGAGAGGAAAAGAAATAATGGAAGCAGGCAGGGGTGGCCCAAAGGCAGGTGGGCTTCCTGGACTGCTGCTGTCCTTGACCTCACTGCTCAGGCTTTTAGAACAACTAAGAGCCTGACAGGCCACAATGAGTACAAAGGCTCCAGATTCCAAGGTGGACAAAACTCACCAAGCAGGTTATTAATCTTGATTCCATGATGGTTGTAATTGAGAAACAAGGAATCAATTCAGACCACATGCTGGAAATAAATGTGAAAGACATTGCAAACATCCAAGATTTCTATGCTGTCATTAGAAGAGGAAACTGAATAAGACTGACAATAATAAAGACAAATTTAAGTGAGTATATCAATATGATATACTCATTTTCTGTCTAGATTAAGGTATTACATTTCAAACCCCAATTATTTATGCATTTTAAACTTTCTTATAAGACTTTTGATGCTATAAACCCTGTGCTTAAGCCACCATATACCAAAAGCCCTACCTAATGTCTTAACAACATCTGTGAGGAAACTCCTCTAATAATTAATGGTCAGTGAAAAAATAATATTAGCCTTAAAAATGCAATTATTGATACTACTGCAGATAAAGAGATAATGATGGTATAAATTATAACTAGCCATCCATAATTCACTCTGTGCTAGACACTGTTTTAATTATACCTTACATTTAGTAAATTATTTAGTCCTTAAAACAACCTTATGAGGTACTACTATCATATCCATTTTACAAATAAGAATTTCTGCTGGAAAGATAGTAGAGAATCACTCCTCTTATTCTACCTCTGCCATTCTGTCCTTCTTGCTCTTTCTCAGATATCCCAAGGTCCCTTTCACCTCAGGGCATTTGCCTCTGCTCTTCGCTCTGCCAGGGAATGGGCTTCTCCCATTTATCTATGTGACTTGTTCCTTGCTGCCTTCTAGTCTCTCCTCAAATGATCCATATCGATGGTGTGTTTCCCACCACTCTGAAAAAATAGCATTCCCCCTTTTTGATGCTCCCTATCTTCCTTACTGTGCTTTAATTTTTGCCGTAGCACTTTTCCCTCTACTGACTTGATATATAATTATTAGTCTATTTACAGATTTTTTATTTCCCCTCACTAGTATGGAAATGTAAGCTCCATGAAAAAAAGGGATTCTGCCTGCTTTTTCACCATTATATGTCCAGCCCCTGGAAAAGTACTTGAATTAATCAATAAATGAAAGATTTAAAGAAAATAATAATATATATACATTAGATTTATCTTTTGAAGGATTAGTTTGTTAAGATTTTGAAAGTTTTAATCAGATAAGAGAACCATATTGCTTTGTTTGACAATAATTTTACTTTAGCTGTTTGTAACCAACATACAAACACATGCCAAGTTTAATTCACGATATCTTTATCTGAAAGAGTCACAAATAACTCTAGAATCTTAAATTATTTCCTTTCTTATTTAAAGTGGAGAGGTGAACATTTTCTATTTTTTTCCGTCTATTCCACCAACTGCTTACTAGGTAAGAAAGCAAATACAGCTACCCTTAACATATGTGTTCTCTTCTATGATCCACACAAAATCCCTATAAGATGATAAAATGAGATCTGTTTTTCCCAAAAGAATTTCATAATTTTCAGAGTCAGAGAGATATTAGAGTTTATCTACTCCATTCTCCTTTATTTTATAAGGAAAGCCCAGCCCAGCTTCCCCAGGGATCATGGTCAGTTGTTGACATAACTAGACTGGAACGAAGACCAGGGCTCTTTCTATACTAACTGATAGACTGAAGTTTTAAAATCTCTATAAGTCTACAAAATTAGATCAGAACACTACCTGAATCATTCTTAGTTTAATGAGTAAATATTTAAGCTATGCTAGCATGCTGTTGTTGTTGTTTGAGATAGGGTCTTTCTGTGTTGCCCTGGCTAGAATGCCGTGGAGATAGCCTAGCTCACAGCAACCTCAAACTCCTGGGCTCAAGCAATCCTCCTACCTCAGCCTCCCAAGTAGCTGGGACTATAGCCATCATACTTGGCTAATTTTATCTATTTTTAGTTGTCTGGCTAATTTCTTTCTATTTTTAGTAGAGATGGGTCTCACTCTTACTGAGGCTGGTCTGGAACTCCTGATCTCAAGCAATTATCCCATCTTGACCTGCCAGAATGCTAGGATTATAGGTGTGAGACACCATGCCCAGCCCCCTAACATGTTTAAATATGAAATTTGTTCTGCAAATTTCTCCTATTATTTTGGAGGCATGATTTATTGTTACTAAAGAAAATAATGGCCATAAAAAAGGCATGGCTTAGCATGGAACCAATAAGGAGCTTGGTTTGCTCTTGAAATAGAAAGTTGTCCAAAGGCAGTCTAGAACGCACACACATACACACACACACATATACACAAGGCCTTTCTCTGGCTATAGGAAGGAATAGAGTCCAGTGGAAACATTACTAATCTCTTTCTTTATCTACCCACTGAACAAATATTGCTGAATGCTTGGAGAAAC